TTTTTTTTTGATGATTCTTGTTTTTTTTCTTTGGGGTGTGTGGGGGAGACGCTTTAATCGCCCATAGAGTTAGGGCAGCGCCAGTGCGGGGATTATATATAACTGCGAATGTCTTTGCCTACAGGGCGCCATCGCACCATTTCTGATTGCTTAACCAAATAGTGGTATTGCGTGAGTATCATTACATGCAATATCTTTTAAGATTCAGTCAGAGAGCGGCTTTACAAGTACTCATGGAGACGCGCGCGAGGCAAGAAATGACATAATTCGTCGTGGCGAGGAAGATTCTCTAGTTCACTGGTGAATCAAGGGGTGTGGGTGCGGAGGCGGCGCCGCATCCTTGGCAAGGGCAGCTTCGGTTGTGAGGGATCTGAACCTGCATACAATGAAGAAGGAAGATGAAATGAAGTCGCTAGAGATGTAGGTGACGATCCTGCGCCGCTCGCGCGGACACCCGAACTTTGTGCAGTTCCTTGACTACTGCCATGGTGGAAACTTTATGGTGCACATCNCGATCCTGCGCCGCTCGCGCGGACACCCGAACTTTGTGCAGTTCCTTGACTACTGCCATGGTGGAAACTTTATGGTGCACATCGTGATGGAGTACTGTGCGTCGCACCAGTCGGTGAGCTTCGTTGCCTCAGTGTTGATACAGATACTCGCGGGATTGCACTTCCTGCACGTTGAGCAGGCCACGCTGCACCGCGACATTAAGCCGCAAAACTTGTTTCTCTGTAGTGACGAGTCTCTCCGCATCGGCGACTTTGGCGTGTCGACGACCCTTGAGCAGTTAGGTGGCGTGGCCAAGGCAGTATGTGGGTCGCCACTCTACATGGCCCCGGAGGTGTGCGAAGAGCAGGGCACTCTTGGAACAGTAACGAAAAAAGAGTCATCATGCTTGGCGTAATTCGGTCAGCTTCGTTGCAAGATGCGTACCGATCGTCTATATGTGTGAGAGGCGCGAGATAACACCTCTGGAGGCGCCGTGGAACACGTCGGGTGTCGGTGCCCGATTCCCATGTGCTGCAAAGGGCCACACAGTGAGGGTGCCGTGGCCGCGGTTATGGTGCGCTTCGTGGATGCTGGGCTCCATTTCACAGATGCATGACCTCACATTTTCGTGGGTCATTGCATCTCATGGGGAAAGCAAACGTGTGCCCGTTGATTGACATCGTCAACTTCTTTTTG